GTTTTGAAATTAAGCTTTAAACTGTTTTGTTTTTTCCTGACCACTATCCATTCTCTTGGCATTCAATCCAGAGGTGGGAAATGTGTGGGCATCTCTCTGTGTAACTAGGGATGCGTCCTGGCACTAGCTCTAAAAACCAGTAATCTGATTTTGGACAGAAGTGGCATCCTGAGACTAGAAAACTTACCTTGGCCTACTAGAATCTCCCATGTAGCATCTCTGCTGGAAAGGCTCCTGTTCTTTTGTGTGGTCAGCTTTTCATTTCACGAGATAACATTGACACAGGGGGAAGAATCAGCTTGGGAATACTTAATCCTAAAACGTGGGGGCCGCCATCCTTGGTCATGAGCCAGCATGGACTCAGGCTCAGCACGAACATGAACCAATGTTCTGAATACTTCATTTTCTGTTCTTTGTGTCTCCCTGCATCCTAAAAAGGTGGGAAAAGGCAATTAGGGGAGGAAATTAACAACAGGGGGACACCAGAGATGCAATACTGGAAACAAGACAAGCAGAGAGCTACCTTTTCTATTTCAAAGAAAAGATTCTGCTAGTATGAGGTGTATGGTGTGAGTGAGAAGACCTGCCAATCTCCTGGGGAAAGGAACTCACCGCATGCTATTAAACGCCCAAAAACCGTCTTAGCTAAGAGTTGAGCGGATGGGGATAAAGAACACAACCAGCCTTACCTATACAACTTTCTAGAAAACCAAATTGTTTCACAGCTAATTGGTACAAATGTTCCCTTGCTCACTGTTGCGGCTGGAGACACACTTGAACATTTTTATGGCTGTTTGGGTAATTAAATACCATTTACTTTTCCTACCTGAGGGGTGCAGGTCCTGCCGACCCTTTTAAGTAGATGTAAGATTATGCAAGAGGGAATTATGTACAGATAATTTCCCATATTTGCAGTATGCGCCTTTATTTGGAAATGAATGAATAGAAACCACTCAGATACCTACTTCTGAACTTCCCCGGCTTCTTGTAACAGTAAATATGAAGAAATGAAAAGTACTGCTGTCATGCTTGGTCTGGTTCTGCCATCACATGTCACCCACCTTTTCCTAAGAACTGTCCAGTGAGCCACTTCTTATGTGAGGTCCTCAGAAATAAACCTCGCTAGAAAGCACCACTGAGGCAGGGAGTGGCCGTGGTTCTCTTATTCACCATTGGTTTGAGAGACCAACACAGTTCACAGAGTCTCCTGGCTGCATGAAGGCATTAGGTGTTATCCTATGGGCCACTGGGTCTGAAAGACCTCAAAAAAAAAAAAGCAAAACAAAACCCAGAGTCCTATAGCTGCATTGTCCGGTATCCACATTTAGCTACTTATTTTTAACTTTTAAACCAGTTAAGTTCTGTTCTCACCCATACCAGCTAGGTTCCAGGTACCTGGTAGCCACACTGAGGGGTGTGGAAATGCTGAGGACTCCGTTGTCACAGGGGCCTAAATTAGTGTGGCCCCGGGACTTTTAAGGGCATCCTTTATGACCATAGCATATACATAACACAAAAAGCCCCTTCACATATCTGCTTGATACTGGTAGTCAGATAGCAGTCAGATTGTATACCAGTCGGCAGTCAGCTGCACGAATTTGTTTGGTTGTGCCAGTTGTTACAGTAATAAAGTATCGGGGTTGACAGAGACTTGGGTTGCATGCCCTTCTCTATCTTCTGAGGCTTCAGAGGCATTAACCATTTCCTTCAGGTCCCCAGCCCCTTCCCAGTCCAAACAAAATTAATAAACAAATGTCTTTCCCTTCCTGAGGGTAACAGGGCCCCCAAGAGTGTTGCCCAACACTGCAGGCCTCAGATTGGCGTCTGGTGCTTTTGCCTTCATGGTGCCCTGACTTTGAGAAGGGACCACTTCCTAAGGGTCATTCCAGAGGTTCCCATAACACTGGCATGCCCTTTAGCCGTATGACAGAACCATCGGCCTCCAGAAGACCTGAAAAATCATCTCAGTTTCCCTAAGAAACCAACACCTAGAGAGTCACTCAGCTACTCTGTGGCCAACTGAGAAACACGATGCTTTATCCGACACTTATTTATTTATTCGTTCATTTATTGGCTGCCTCTTCCCATGTCTTTCCTTCACTGTAAAGTGGAGATTAACAGTCTTATGCCTGGCAACACTGCTAATAAAAAGCAAGATGATTTTTAACATTAAGTGTATATCTTATAGTTTTCAAAACCAAAGGAAAATAAGCCATATATATATATATATGTGTGTGTGTGTGTGTGTGTGTGTGTTCACACATGTACATATCCGTATATATTTTCCACCTCATTTAATCCAAAGAACCTGTGTGACGAGTTAGGCTCAGAGGCAGAGCCCTTGTCCTACATAACAAAGCCACTGTGACGCAGAGGGCTGTGTCTCTCTGGACTTGGGAAACTATGAACTTGTAAATGTACGGTAATACAGCCATGTGGCACTGCTGGTTTTTGGCCTGTGGCATTTTGCAGTTCAGGAGTTAGCGATACTGAAAGTTATTGCTTTACCCAAGTGATGCGATTTTTTTTTACACTTTGATAATCTGCCAGTTGCACAGACTTTGGTTCAGCATGGGCGGCTTTGAAGTATATTTTTAAAATGAGAGAATCCAGATTTGTAATTAGCTTTGCAAATACTAGTTGTACAGTCTCGACGTCTGAAGAGCTTCTGGTAAGTGTTCCTGTTACTAGTGGCAATTTTGTTTTTTTATTCCCTCTCTGGCCCCAAGCAATTAGGAGAAACAAAGTCTGCTGTTTGAGGATCATCTCATCACTTTGTTTCTTTATCCCCTATGAGCATGATGGGCTCACAAATTAGCTATACACCTGATCCTGGCCAAGGAAAATCCTCTAGAAACCATTTCACCCACTTAGATTCCGGGGTTATCAGGAGAATGTCTCCCCAGTTAAAAAGGAAGTCACAGTGAGCAAATAGTCCATTTCTTGATAGAGCTTTGTTCTTTGGGCCTTTCTTTGTCATTGTTATAGGACAACTCAGACTTTAATGTAAGACTGCTGGAAGAGATGAATTTAGTTCATCAGAATATAATTGAAAGGCCTCACACCCTGAGTCCTCAAATCTTAGCCATTTTATTGTGTGTGCTGGACACAGAAGTAGAGTGTATAGATAGAGTACAGTTGTTCCATCTCAGGACCACTGGAAGTGGGAAAGGAGGTCCTCCCAAGGAAGAGCACCCCAGCCGCCAGCCCTGAAGACATGCTTGTAGGTAGCATTAGCCAGACTGAATGAGTGTGTGTGTGCGCGTGCGCGCGCGCGTGCATGTATGTATATACACACATACAATAGCATTTAGTGAAAAAAGAGGCCATGAATTTGAAATTTTTGGAGGGGTATATGGGGGGAGGGGCTAGAGGGAGGAAAAAGAAGAGAGAAATGTTATAAATTGTAACTTCAAACATTAAAAAAAATAAAATTAATGATTTTTTTTTTTAGAAAGAAACAAAGAACACTGGCTGTGCCTCCAAAGGACCCAGGTTCAATTTCTAACACCTAAGATAGCTCACAACCATCTGTAACTCCAGTCTCAGGGGATCTGATACCATCTTTTGGCTTCTACAGGCACTACATGCAAGTGGGTTACATAGACTTACATCCAGGCATGTGCTAATATGTGGTACACAGACATACATTCAAGCAAACACTTATCCACATAAAATAAAAATAAATAAAATCTCCAAAATTTTAAAGGAAAAAAACTCATCAGAACACCTTAGAAGTTCACATTGCCAACCTGGTATTTGTTTTTCTAGAGAACCCAGGAATGGTCAGAAAACAAGGCAATCCGAAACTCATATGGCTCTGTAAGGTGTTGCTTTCAGACAAACAGTTCAGATATGTTTCTGTGGAGTATTAGAGTATTCAGAGATATTTAAAAACATGATCTAATAACTGTACAACACTAATATAACTTACATTTTCTTTCATAATTAGCTTAAAACACTATGAAAACGTCTCCAAGTATGTTTGTGTATCTGAAAAGGGTAATGGTCCACAACCCAATTCTAAATCCACAAGGTTTTCAGGGTGGCGTTTGTACATGCATGCGTGCTTGTGTGTGTGTGCACGCACGTGCATGCATGTGTGTGTGTGTGCACGTAAACTTTTTGCCTGAATTAATGTAAGGTGTTAGTTTGTCCCAGTTAATGAGTGACTCTATGTTTTTGCATAGAAACATTGAGCACACTTTTCTGTGGGGTGCCTTACCTTGGACAGTAAGAGTGGTTACATACTTGTAAGGATAATAGGGTGGTAGCTGCACCCTATACGCTCAAATCAAAATTAAATATGAATTGCGTGGTTATCCAACTGCAAGAGTTACAGTGAAGGGGCTGTAAGCCTAAGTGACAAAACATCCTTAGTAATTTATTGCTCATGGTTACCATTATTCATTATTTATTTCTTTATACTCTGGCCTGTTTTTATGTGTTCTACAATAAACATTAACTCATAAGAGAAAATAAATATTTCCAATTTAATGGGTGAAAGTCTGATATGAGGATATGAGGTTGGGCTAGAGCCAACAAAATCGTATTGATTTGAAAATGAACACATTTGAGGCATCATTGTCAGCCAGAATTCACAAGTTAATTATGTCTCCTAGCATTGCCTCGAGTTAGCACATCCTCTTAGGTCTCTAAACTGGGGTGTTTGGATTTGTTGAGGAAAGCCTTCTGAGATGATCCAGAAGATAATAAGGTGATTAAAGATTGGCCGCCCCGAGTTGTCTTTGGTTTCAGGAGAGCATGTGGTAAGAGATGCTCGCCTGCAGGAAGCACCTGAAGAAGAGATCTTCCGCTTGAGTAGAGCCCAGATATTGGTATCCAGGGTGATTTTGTCACTCTGCCTATGTGGTTCAGTCGAGAGGCATGCCAGAGTCATGGTGGAGTACTGTATTGCTCAAAGAGAAGGAGCTGTTCTGAGGCAGGAGCATTGCCATGTGCAGCATTTACTCTAGTAATGGACTTTCCTTTGGGTCTAGGTGGACGCTCACTGATCTGTCACAAGGTTGCCTCGCTGAGCGTTGGGGTCCATGTCTGAATGGATCGCTGTAGCCTTCACATCTCTGCCTCCGCCCAGTTCCCGGCATCCTAAGATTCGAAGCCAGGACAGGACCTGGGGAAATTATATGTAAGTTTTTCCTAAGATTGCTTTTCCTCACCTACACAGGGGTAAGTATGAGGTGATGACACCAGGAACCCAAGCACACAAAAATTGCCTTTCTTTTAACAAAGCATCATGAGAATTGCAAATAAGACAGGAAATAAGAGCTGGAATCCCTAGAGTCCTGCTTCCTTAGCCTGGTGGTTCTTAAGTGTTAGCTTTCATCACCAGCAGGTCTGAGTCAGTAGGTCTGACTCAGCCAGCAGTCGGCCTTGCTAACAGTTTCCAAGTGATGTTGGTACAGTTGCTCCAAGGCCCTTGCTTTGAGAATCACTACTTTGGCTCAAGTGTATGAGAGGGGTGGATGGTGAAGTTAAGAAATGGTACACTTTAATATTAAATACATTAAGATGTAGAATCTGGCTGAGCGGGGGATGTCATGCGCCTTTCATCCAGGTACTCAGGAAGTAGAGGCAGGCGGATGTACATGAGTTGGGGCCAGCCTGGTCTACAGAGCAAGTTCCAGGGCTACACAGAAAAACCCTTTTCTCAGAAAACAAATAAAACAAGCAAGTAGAACCTGTGCTTAACGCACTGATGCGTGTCTCAGAAAACAACTTTAGGACTTGCACGGCAGCTTCAGCTGGAAAGCTTAGCCTGACCACTCGCCAGCTCCCTTCCTATAGTTCTGGCCATTGTTTGCCCTTGGGGTTTAGAAGGTCAGAATAATAGTGTGGCTGTTAGCAAAGGCCATAATCCCTTGTCAGGTGTGTTGGTCGTGCTTGGTAGGTCCAAAGGGAAAGTCCGTCTCCCAGGGTTCGAGAATCTGTTTCTCCGCTCCCTGCTACGCTGACATGTAGCTTCATTTACAAGGGACACATGAAGGGAAGCACACATCCAGTAAATAATCCATCAGCAGGGCTCAGCTGTTATGGGTCTCCGAGACCTCAGTACTGACAGATTTTAAGGTCATCTCGTTACTGCGTTAGCTACCAAAAGGATAACTGCTTACCTGCCAAAGACAAGGACAGTTTACCCAACACTGATTAAAAATAAATAAATAATTAAGTTTGACTAAGCACATGCTCACCTGGATATGGTTAAGCACACATACAGATCTATACACATGCCTGTACACATGTTGTATGTTTCTAAGTTTTCAATGTAGAATTGTTAAGTGTTTTTCTTTTATGTCATTAAATAAATGTGAATATAAAATTGTAATAATGGTACTGCCCTGTCCAGAAACTATCTGAAGAATTTCTGGAAGTTTTAAATCTGTGGTAAAGCACTATGATTTGTAACATTTTATTTGGGTGTGGTAAGTGTGATCACTCAAAGTAACACTTTTGGGATTTGCAACTCTTTTAATTAGAACTCTTAAGAATTGAGAACAGTCACTATTAATAAAGTAATCGCCACCCAACTATGTTATGCTAAGTGAAGTCAGCTGGACATGTTCAGCATTGGCGCTCATAGGAGGAGCCTGGAGTCGTCAAACACACAGTCCAGAAGTAAACTGCTTGCTGTCAACAGTGGGGGCAGAGGTGTGGCATTTGTGGTTTAGTGGGTCCAGTGTGGGCTGGAAAAGTTGACGTTTTGGTAGTTGACGGTGGTGGTTAGTTACACAATAATGTCCATGTTCTTAATATCGCCAGACTGTCCATTTAAAAATGACTAAAATAGCATTTTGGGTTCTATTTTAACACAATTTTAAAAGCAACTAAATAGCAACGCACACTCTTCCTTTTAAGAATGCTGGTTCTTGACAGCGACGCTGAAGCTTTCCAGGGTGCAGTGGCATCTTGCACGGCTCTCCCATCCTGCTGTCATTTGTTTAGCCCCCAAACACAGCGAGGACAGAGTCTCAACCACAGGAATGGAATCCCTGTCGTAGCAAAAAATGCCCCTGAGGGAAATCATCGCAGGAGTTTGCCATTAACAGTCACAGTCTCTACCAAACTCCACACAGTGTGGCAGAGTTGCCTTGCTAGGAGGTGTGTGGTGACGATGCTTCATTTCCCGGGGACGTTCCTGGGCCAACATAGCCCGGAGCAGTGTCATGGAGCTGTGAGCCTGACTCTTGCTCTTAACCAGTCTTCTTGCTTGGTGGAGGTGACCACATGAGAGAAACCAGCCAGGGAAGAGAGACCCGCCTCCACCCAGTCACTGTCCTGCTGAGAGGAGCAGGCATTGCTGTGTCGATAAGTCCTGGAGTGACAGCTGCAGCCTGGTGGGAAGCACGGCTTAGTCCACCCAACTCTGCTCGTCTCACTTTTTACCTTTTCTCGTTTCTACAAAACTGGCCTGGAAGCCCAGCCAGCGGATTCCCACAGGGACTGGTAGCATGTGTTCTTCAGATCTTTGGCTGTCTTTAGACTTTATCCCTGGGACAGGCCATACCTAAGGATCTGAGGACAGATACAGATGGATAATTTTCAGTTTCATCGATAGAAAGAATAAGTGTGTGTGAGGATGGGGGATAAGCTCAGAAGCCAGTGTTCCAAACATGATTGAATGTTTCCCCTGAGCTATTAAGGTTACTTGTGTGAATGCACACTCATACACATGGAAATTTGGCTTAAAGAAATAGTATGACCAGAATAAAGATTAAACAAAATCATTGGAATTCAAGGACGACACATACTAATCCATCCCCTCGTCCTCAGGATAGACTTTCCAAACCTTCTTGGAAATCAAGTCTTTGTTTTACTTAGGCTGTACAGGCCATGGCAGTGCTTCAAAGGCTTTTGGCTCAAATGCTATGGGGGAAAAAAACAGTAAAACTAAAGTTTACTGTAGAAAGAAAAAACATGTGTAAGGGAGAAGAAACTAAGGATGAACTCACCTCTGCTATCCCCACGGACCTACAGCACCTAAATACGATCTGAGATCATGAGGATGTAGAATTTAATCAAGATCCATGAACCCCGTGAGTTCAGGTGACACAATTGCAGGAGTTCCTGATGGATTTCCCCAGAAAAGACCAGCAAACCAGATAATAGGCAGATAAAATGACACACGGTAGAAAGAACTCAGGGGCTCTCTCCTCATTGGCCCTCCTGTTCCTTAGAAGTCAGCTGTGCCTGGTTCCAGATGCTGGCATGTTCCCTGAAGGTACCTGAACGAAGAAAACCAGGCCCTGGGTTGGCTAACCTTCCAACCCCACACCCCAGCCCTTCACGCTCCCCATCCTCCCCTCACATCCACTTCCCTTGTTCAGAGATCAAGACTCAGAAAACAAGACAGCTTTGGTTTTCTGTGAGGGACGGATTCACTGGAGGGTATCTGCAGCTTCGGCCTCTTCCATGCTCAGATCGGCGAGAGTAGCTGAATGTGTTAGAATCAGATCTGGAGGCTGCTTTCTAAGGATCTTCCCCAGCAAGCAGCTACTCCTTGTTGTTAAGCAGAATACCGAAGCAAGCATCCTCTCGTCCCAAGGTTGCCCTGCACCACCAGAGACACATTAGCACAGGGTAGAAAACTCCCAATGTGTACTTTCATAGGCATTCTTGAGAGAACGGCGTCTTTTCCAGGATTAAGGGGTAGATCTTCTGTATGTGATTTAGGAATCATCGATAAGCTGTGATGTAATTGCTTTCCAGAGTGACGCCTACACTAACCCCGTGGACACAGTTTTGGAGTCGGTTCTATTGGTTTGTTTTTAGCAGAACGTTTGATTGGATCGTTTACAGTAGACTCCACTCACAATTACGGTCTATTCACGGAACAATCAAAATTAATTTTCATCTTTGCATGCACGCTAATAGTACAAGGGAGTGATGTTGCCAGCATGGGGACATATGTTAATATACTAATCAAAACCTCCAGAGTCTCCAAAGAAGCTGAGCTGTACTGCACTGGAAAGTTCCCTCCCCAGTAATAGCCCTGGCCGCATACATGCTTTATCAGTTTATTCCAGTAGCCTCCAGCCTGCTGAGGGCTAAAGAGGTGACTGAGGGTGCACCTGTCACTAGCAGAATGACACTTCTCACTGCTGCAGGGGAATTCAGGGTTCCCTTTTGTGGGTTCTTAGCCGCATTAATAAAAGAATTTTAAAATGGACTCAGGGGCCAGCAATGTGGCTTAGCAGTTAAAGACGCTTGCCACCACCTGACAATTTCAGTTTGATCCCTGGAACCCACATGGAGGAAGCAAAGAGCTGACTCCTGGAAATTGTCCTCTGACCTCCATACCTGTACCGTGGTACGCATTTACACACATGTGCGAGCGCACGCGCGCACACACATACTATATATGTGTGTGTGTTTGTGTATATTTAAAAAAAAGCAGACTCAGAAGGAAGCTCAAGGATGGTTTTATTAGAGTTTGGGAGGAAAACCACTGGGCAGGCAAGAGGTGAATCGCAGGGGCTTCAGGGAGGAAGACGGTGGAAGAGAAGAGAGAAATCAATGCCTTTTTAAGAGCCGCCATGTTCAGCATCGACTTTGCACAGCAGCAGGGTACAGGGGATGTCAGAGAAAGTGAGAATGTCCAAAGCATTCCAAAGACAACAAACAGGCTGCCAAGCTGGGGGAAAGCCCCACAGAGCTGGGGCGTAAGGTCCAGGCCCTTACGTTTCATAACATTCCCCTCCCACGTTTGTATGTCCCAGGCTTTGGTTTTTCCCACATGTTCTCTTTGTTAAATGAAACCCAGATGAGGAGGGGCTTCCAGTCTTCCTGTTCCCTCTGGCTTCCTTCATATATTAACCTTGGTGTAGCAATTCTAACATATACTCTCCTACCAGACCACTGAGCCTTCGTGTTGAGGGCACATTAGCGGCTCACCCTTCTAGGAACCCCGTTCAGACACAAGCAGGCCTGGTGTCTGCAGTAGGGGTGGCAGGAAGTGCACAGAATAGGTATGTTGAGACGTGTTCCTGCTCTTCTGCCCGTAGGACATTGTCTGTGAAATTCTGCAAGCTAGCCAGGTTATTGAAGCCCTTAGTCGTTGGAAGCTCTTGTGTCTAGAGGATTTTTCCCATATTCCACACCTGCTTGACACCAGGTCAGATAATTAAAGGA